TAGTCTTTCTCCATTGACACAGGAAAATCGAATTTCCTCCACACACATTACCTTACCTTTCCACTTCCCCCCAAACTGCTTTAGCACGCTCAAGCGTTCGAGGCAAGTTGGCAAGGTCTTGCTGGTGAAACGTGCGGAGGTAGGGAAGTATCGACTTCCGTGGAACTTTTAAAGTGGCTAACAAGGCGAGACCTTCGTTGATATATAACCGTGCGGTGCGCACGGCGGCCCACCGGCCAAGAACAATGATCCTGTCCAGGGATCCATGCTTGCCAAACCAGCACGTAGCGCCTCCTCTGCGTAAACTGTAGGGGCGGAACTCGAATTCTTCGAGATTCAACGCCTTTAAACAGACACTAAAGGTCTTGCGCCATTGGTGTGGTTTAGGTGTGAGAGGGCAATGCGGTGCGGAAGTGTGTTTCCAAGCCCAAAGCCATTGAAGGGCACATGTGACTGAAATAGTGACGCTTTCAGCGGCACCGGCTCGCTTTCCAGATTTTGTCAAACCTAGTGAGATCACTGCTGGTTTTTCGGGAGACGTCATCAGTATGTGATTGTTACACAGCCCGAGAATCTCCCCCGTACGCAGCAAACCGTAAAAACCCAGCAACAAGCTCAGTCCGAAGGCGTATTCTTTGTGGAACAAGCACCAGCCCAACATGGCGAACAAGCACTCTTCTGGAAGTGGGGGGCGCGCGACTAGGCACCTCATTGACGTGCCACGTCTTCAAGAGGCGCCAGGTAACCTGTAGCTTCCCTTTCAACCTGGGTTCTGTGTCTTGAAAGGCTGCAACAGTATCACTTGCAAGGGCGCGACCCTCTCCAATGCTCCACAAATGCTCAACGTAATCAGCCAACATATCGTCAAAGGCAGTGACATCAGCGGGAATACTCAACCCGTTAGAGCGGGCGTAGGCGTAGAACTTATCCTTTGCCTGACTGCAACGTTTGCGGGTCTGCGGTTGCACTGTAAGTTGCCTCAAAGTTCCTAAAGCTTGCCTGCTTTTTGCCCTGTGTTCCTTACTGCGACCTTCCAAAACCTGCTTTACTTTACCCATTTGCGACCGAGAGGACGCCGGCTGGGCCGGTCTGCTGGGTTTTGGGATGCGTGGATGTACCCCCACACTGGGTGGAGGTCTGCAGCAAGGATCAGGGAGTTTACACGCTTCAGAAGATGTCGTAGCTTCCGGGACGACGTCCGCCCACGCGACAAGCTGTGCAAGCAAACTAAACTATCAGTCAAGTGCAAAAACCTTCGACCATGAATGCCTCGACGTGCAACCAACCAACGCAACGTAGTAAGAATCGCCCTGAGCTCAAGCACATTGATGTGGTCTCCTGAGTGCTGCCACCGCCAGCCTGCGACTTCTTTCCACCGCCAAACTTGGCTGGTACACTGGAACGGAGCCTGTGGAACTTTACCTGGGGCTCACTTGCAGCGGTCACCATAAGATCCTCCCCCTTCATCGAAACCATCCCCAACAACTTCATCAACAAAGGGCCCTCCAAGGAGCTCACTAGCGACTTGGTCGAAGACAAAGGAGGTCTCAAGAGGATGCCCTGCAATGAGCGACTTCCCCCGGGGGTCAAATAGTCAACAGTCTCTTGAAGGGATTGACGCCGACAGAAGCCTAATGGTCCCAACAGTTGCTCCAGAAGCCATGTAATGACTCCTACATGCCAGGAGTTACCAATCAATGTCAGCCTGGTGTCCTCCCACTTTGGCCCGCTCTGTTCAGCCTTCGGGAGACAGGGGCGAGTGTACCCGACTGGGATACACATCATTGCAATGCCTCACGCTCTTGAACATTTGGACGTCGGGCTGCGCCTTTCTTCGTCCATAGCAAGTTGTGGTCCCGATATTGGTACGGTGGAAAACGGTAACCATCTTCCTCCCAGCGTTGGCGTTCGTGTGGTGCACAACGATCTAACCCGGCGGGTCGAAATCCCGGTTGGTCTCGTGGTCGGGATGTGGTGAATGTAGGCAGTTTGAAACCTTCGGTGACAAGCCATCCGGGCTCCAAGAAAGCTTCTGCTTTGACCTCCGCCTTCAACTCGACCACGCCACAACCATGCCACACGTCCGAGTCAACGGGAGTCGTGACTGTGACTCCCTCGCCTGGGTACAAGTCCCAGTCAACCCAATACAGCCGAGGGCGATGACAAAGGCCGATGCCCGCAGCATCTATCTTGAATGGGGTCATCTGCACTGCCTCGCTCATAATGCTTCGATCCACTTCTGACATGGAGGCCACCGATTCCATCAAGGTCCTGACTTGGGCCCAAGGAAAAGCGTTCTTGAGCAGGTCACGGATACGCGGGACTTCCTGGTACAAACAGCTGCGCTCGTCATGGAGGGCGCCCTTCTTGGACGCGTTCAACGCACTGACTCCCTGACACGGGGGTCCAGCACCAAGAAGAACAAGCGACACCGAGGGGAAGCGTAGCGCTAGTCCTTTTACCAGAGCCTCATCGACCGTCCTCACATCGTCATGGAACATTGAATCAGGAAAAAAGGCTTCTACCACTCTTCGGCCCGTGCCTTCCTTCTCAACACTCAGGTGCCCTGCCACTGCAACGCCCAAGCTGTCCACCGCCAACCTCAACGCTCCCAGACCATCGAAAAGGCCAACCGTCAACACCTGTAATGTCTCCCCCTCTCGCGGGAGTTCTCCACGGGATTCACTATTCAAAGCTGCCACACCATAGCTAGTCAACCCTTCGCTGACACAGGTGCCCCCGCCCGTGGTGGAGGCGTCGCTGCACGTCACGTGCTCAAGGAAGGGGCTCCGAAAGTCAATCTGCGCCAACGGGGTCAGCAAGATGAAGGTGAGCAACTCCTCCTTTACGACTCGTGGAATTGGCAAACGAATGACGGGAGGGAGCACTTTCAACTTTTCCATGAACCTCCACACTTCGTTCAATGTGGCAAGAAGGAGCCGGCGGAACAGTGCGAAATACACCAGTCCACCACAAACCACTTGCAGCTCTTTCAAAGTGCATCGCTCTTGGTTCACAAGCATCCAAGCCAGTTGACAGTAGAGAACCACCTTACTGGGCTTTGGTTGGGCAAATCCTGCCACGCCGTCAACGATGGCCCCTTGGATCTCCGCCACCTCTGCGCGCACCACTGCCTTCTTGGGATGCCTGGGGATGTTTTGACTAGTGTACTGATCCCGCAAGTGCTCAACCACCTCTGCAACTTGGCCACCAAGGGCTTGAGCCGTGGGGGGGGTCGAAACGCTCTACCAAATCGAAGTTATCGAGGTAGACCCTGTATTGTGTGCGCGCTCGACTGCTCACACGATCCTTGCGCATCTCACACTCTGCGCCCAAACCACCGTCGACCTGCTGGCTCCATCTGACGATGTTGCGGTGTACATGTTGTGCAATCGACACACTGTTGACAAAGCCCATAGGCAACACGCAAGCTGTCAACACACAAGGACGCCCTTTCCACTTCTCCGGGATCAACGACTCAGGTACGTGACGATTAAACCCCAAAAACTTCTTCCAGGCGTTCGGAATCTTGAACAGATAAAAGAAACACCGGATGTCTTCAGAACTAATCAACGCGACGTCGCCATCGTCCAAAAGGAAAGTGCCGAAGCTGCTGATGTTCGGGAGAGTGACTACGTCTCCCACCAATGAATCACACAGCTGATTGAGGGGTACCAGATTCATAATCAGTCGTTGGGTCTCCACTGACCCAACGAACTCCCCCTTCCCAACTCCGAACATACCGTTCAGTAAAGGCACCTTGTCGATGTGGAAGAGCTGGTCCACCGGCGTGATCTCGCAAATGTTCTTCTTGATGAGTCCCTCGCAAACGGCAGGCCAGTCGTCACCCACCATGACCCGAGGGGCCCGAGGGCAGGAGAGGCTAGAGGTGTCAACTAGGTGGTCCTCAAAGCCTCAAAGTGGTCCAGATAATTAAGGGTTCCGTGAGTGCAAAAATCCCGCAACTCCAACTGACCCACTTCATCAGGCAACGAACCACGGACTCCTTCCCAACTCAAGGTTTGAGCGACACGAACCTCCTCCCCATCGTATGTCACCCCCCTCTTTGCGAAGAAATCTTTGAAGTCGAAACGGCCCATCGGCTCTTCCCATACCTTGAAGCGCTCACACAACTTCCCTAAGTTTTCCACGACTCCGCAAGGTTCACGGTTCGGGCGAGGTCCATCGCCCCTGCCCGTGGCATACTTGTTCAGCCCATATAGATCATGTCCGCCACTGCCATGTGTGATTTTTTCCATGGATCCAGGGGTAGAAGGATAGGGAATAGATCGTCAGCCAAGACTACCGTGTTCTGCATGCGCTCACTCTCCAATTCACTAAGCTTCAACCTGGCCATGGACATGAGCTGACCAAAGTTCTGAGGTGAAACATTGTGGTCTACAGCTGCCTGTGGGTTCACGCGACTCCCCTCTTTCGGGAGTCCAATGTTCTCAGCAGCTGCTGGCGTGCCGTGGTCGTCTGCTCCAATGGCCGGCACCGACGTAATGAGGGCGAGCCGGCCCATGCCTAGCTTTCCCTCCTGTTCTCCTCCCTCAGCACGGGAGCCCAACAATGAATTCTCAACCTTCTCAACATCTCCTCGTAGTGCCGTATGCTGTACCGGGCCTGCCAACCCTGTGTCAGCCGAAGAGCGCATCAACGCCCTGTGAAACTTCTCAAGCTCCAGTGCCTCCTTTTGCTGCTCGCCTTCTTCCACATTGCTTTTCGGGAGAGTACGCCCTGCCTCAACAAGCTCTCCCCTCATGCACTCCCTTCTCAACTTCTTCACTCCTTGTCGCCCTTCTCCTCTTTCTTCTTTCCATCGCCTTTTCGATTGCCTTTGTCCTTGAACTTGCCATCTCCTTTGCCCTTCTCTCGCCTTCCTTTTTCTTTTCCTTTGCCACCTTTGTAGAAATCCTTGTCCTCCCATGACCATCGTCCAGTATTTCGTCTCATGATCCGGTCCTCGGTCTGCATCTCTCGGCCTGCTTCTCCGGCTTCTGGAGTGGTCAGCAAGGATGGGCGGTCGGCACCCACCAACTCTAGTCGGCGAGCAATCTCTGTGCTCGTCCCTCTTGCCATGGCTTCGAGTGCTTTGAGTCGTTGACTCGCCACGTCCATGGCGGCCGCTACGCGGCCTCGCAGGCTCAGGTCCAGGATAGTCGCTAGGTGCAACGATTCGCGGGCATAGGCCACTCCCATGTGTGGTTGCAAATGCGCCCGGAAATACTGAGCCACCACGGGAGCCACTGCTCCCTCCATCACCGGCCGATTCACATAGCCCTGAGCTGTCATCATCTGTTCTTGCATGTCCAGGATGGCAGCGTTGGTCAATGCCCCTGGGACGCGGCGCCACAGCCGCAGGGACCTCCTCTCGCTCTCGAACAACTCTGAAGTTGCTATGCGCCTCTCTCCCAAGCTTGAACTGTCGCTGCTCTCTCCTGTGTCCTCCTCTGTGGACTCCTTGCTCCGGGAACGCGATCCCTTCTTCTTCTTTTTCTTTCCTCCCTTTCTGATCTTCCTCGCCTTTCGCATCAACTCGTGTCTCACGCTGGCATCCGGGTCCAATGCTGAGTGCTTGAAGACGTCCTGAACAGGCACCTCCAACTGGACTCTCACCTTGGCCTTCCTCTTCTTGCTCTTCTTCGCAGCCTTCTCCTCCACGACTCCCTCCCCCTTTCCGGGAGGGTCCACTGCTTCGGGAGAGTATGCCACCTCCCCTTGATCGGCTCTCTCGACCATCTCCTGTCGGATCCGGTGAAGTGGGTCGTCTTCTCGGGGTCGTGGATCTCCTCGTGGAACCTCCTCCAGGTTTGTCCACCACTCTTCTGCCGGCTCTCCCTGGACGCGGTAGCGGAGGCCGTGGATCAGGTCCTTCGCCCAAACCAACTTGTCGCATGGATCTGGGCAAACATGGATCCTCAACTCTTTGCAACGACCTGCAATCTCTCGCAGAAGGGATTCGCTTTGAGTCCCTGTGACCCATAGCCTCCATGTTGCGTCCCCGTCGTTGATCACGACACCACGCGTCTCCCCTGCCACGAGAACGGGAGACTCCCAATAGCGACCCTCTAGCACCACTTTCTGCCGCAGATTGAGGGCCCCCAATGTAATCTTGCTCAACGACACCCATTCCTCCTCTCTTCGACCGGGAGACCCTTCTGCCTCCCTCCTGGCTGGCCTGCGCAAGGCTTCCACTCCTGACCTCCGAAGAGCACCTTCTCGTCGCCCCACCGGGATAGCAGCTGGGCGTCGACGTGGGGGCATGGCGATCAGTAGTACTCTCGCTCGTACTCCCTCCACAGGCGGAAATTGGTGTTCCGCTCGTCCTTCTTCCGTCCCTTGTTTGGAGGGGGTTCGCGATAGGCCCAGGACTTCGACCGCACGTCAGTCGCCTGCCAGCTGGAGTACCCTGGGGGTGGATGGTCGGGCTCTCGTGGAACCTTGACCGGAGGTGGCTTCGGTGGAGGGGGGATCGCTCTCTTCTGAGCGTTGGTGAGCCCCGATGCACGGGATGGCAAGGGTCGCCCGGGGGAGGGGGACACGACCTCCCGGGGACTGGGAATCGGTGACCTGGGTGAACGGCGGTCACTCTTTCGCTCCCTCTTGTCCTTTCGGGAGTGGGAATGGGTCGTACGCCCTCTCTCAACGGGGCTTCTGGCGTGGCTGGAATGGCGTCGGCGGCGCTCTCGGTGATGGCTACGGGAGCGAGGAGTGGCTCCCTCCTTGGTGTCCTGATCTTTCTCTCTTCGGCGACGACGTTCACGATCTCGGGAGCTCCTTTTCTTTTCTTTGTCTCTTGCCTCACCACCCTCGTTCTGGTCCTCTACCTCAGCGGGCTTCTTCTCTTCGGTCACCTTCTTCTTGTCAGCGGGGTGGTCACCACTAGGGCTGGTAGCTTCTGCCTCAAGGGGAGCAACAACTGGGGCACTGCCTGGAACTGTAGGAGCTTTTTCTTCTTCTGGCTGGGGCTCTTCCTTGACGCTCTTCTTCGGCCCCTCCCCTCCCTCTGCCGGGAGAGTGGGTTCTCCAGGAGTGGCAGCCCCCGGATCCCCCGCTTCAACAAAGTCAAGCAACTGCGAGTGTGTCACACGCAGCAGCTCGACTCCGCGACGCTGAAGTGCGCCGCTAGCCTCCCTCGCGTACAGGAGGCTGAAAACCCTGCGAAAGGAAAGGCAGAGCGCGCACGAGCAAGTCTCAAACTCGTGCGGCATCCACCCTTCCCGCTAAGCCGAGAAGCTGCGGGAATCAAATTAAGGGGGTGTTCATCTTTAAATTCGGGGCGATAGTCATATATATATATATACATATATCCCGGACGCTCCATGTATGGTATATATGCCTACATTGACCCCTGAAATCATCCCAATGTATGTAAATATGCCATACATGGAGTGTTTGGGTATAGGGACTTCTTTGGTCACAAGGGATCTTTTATAAGTATAATACATCATGCACTCCATCTGCTTGTTGGGTTTCTCCCCACTTGCGAATGCTCCTTAAAATTCACCCAAATCTGCATTCCCTTTGCTTGGCCGTTAGTAGCTGCCATCCCAATCAAACATTAAACAACCACATGGACCATAGCCATGCAAGTACTGCAACTACCTGTCTTTGTTCTGCAAATCACTTCCCTCGCACCCCCTGAGCAGTGGGTTGGAGACGCGGGGAGCGCCGGTGTCTGCGGAAGACACGGAACGCGTCGAACGGGTGCACTTTTTGACGCCACCACAGGAAGTTACAAAACACCACAAGAATTCAAGCCAAGCAGGTGTGCAAATCACCATGCAACAATAACTCCTCTACAGTGCTTGATGGTTGTGGATTTCAACTTCCAAACTACTGGAACAAATGCGCCACCCCGACCATAGGGCTTTTGCCTTAGGCCTAAGGATTCGACGTGAGCCTGCCTATATCAAATTATGATGTAGCTTGGCACCAATTCTTGGTGCCGTCGGTGTCTCCACAACAAGCCTCCTGGCCGATCTCGCCACAATTCCCTTTCGACGTGCTCTGACTGGTGTCACAGCAAGCGCCTGGGACATCACTATCACTGGAGCATTTGGCGTGGCAACGCTGGACTTGGCAGTAGGACTCGCTGCTGTCCGTGTTTCCGCAGCAACCCTCCTGCCCCAATGTGGCACAGCTCCCCTTCGTGGTCACCGAGTCAGGATCGCAACATTGTCCCTTGTACGGACCTTGCACACACTGGTCGTCGCAGGAGGCCGTGGTGGTCGTCACGGTAGTACTGCTAGTAGAGGAAGTGCAATTGACATCGGGGTCCTCGATACATTCCAAGGAGACGTCGCTTGAGCGATTCTGCCAATCCCAGAAGCTCATACCTGCTCATCGAGCGAGCTCATCGAGCGAAGGCCACAAAAATGCATTTAAACAGACTCAACACGTAGGACACAGGATGCTAATTTATGGGCAGTATCCAAAGCCGTTTTCGAAACTACTTGGACAGTCGGTTCTATGATGTTCCAACTCAGTGCAGCCCCTGTTCCTCCCCAAGTTGCCACAATTATCCCTTGGGCAAGCCAGCTAGTGGGATTGGGATCGCAGTCGAACCAAGCAACCTGCCAAACTGTAGAACTTGATCCAGGTCTTGATCACGTCCATATAGCAGGGCTTCAAGTCAATCTGAGACGTTGATCAGGCGAACAACCCGTCGTGCCCATGGAACAAAACAGCAGAAAACCAAAAAACAACTCCACAGAACGGTCCAAGTCTATTCCCATCTAGCACACTCCATTCCCATCCTAGCACATCAAGCTATAAAAATTCAAGTCCAACATACTTAACTTATTTATATATAGGGTCAAACCATGTCAAAGCAAGCAAATCAAGTCAAGTCTGCGCAAATCAAGTCACTGTGGTGAGGGCCAGAATGAGCTTGCTCTTTGGAATCGAAGTATTGAGCCAATTCTGCACATAACCCCAGGTTTCGCCCGAGTAGGGGTTGGAACAGTCGATGGCGTAGCCGTTCTTGTCCATATAATAGGCATGGATCAGAACGGCAAAGTAGTCCACGGTGTCTGGGTAGTCTTCGGCGATTTGGCTTGCATTGGGGTAGTACCTGGCAGCTGAATGCTAATGACCGGTCAGCTATGCGAATCGTTGGTTTCGACACGAGGTACCATGACCTGCTCGCTGCCCAAAACATATGTTGGATTGAAGAAAGGCTAGCCACTCTGTTGAACAACGTGGCTCCCGAAAGACATCATGCATAGAGCAATTACAGTACTGTAATTGGTGTAATACATATAGTATACTTGTGGGTTCCCCCTTGTGAGGAACCCCTCCAAAAACAATACATCTCCAAAAACAGAGGCTAAGCCCACCAGTTCTTGCGGCCAAGAGGCGCCACCATGCCGGTCATCTGGATCTTGGAACTGGGACTGGCCTCTTTGATTTGAACAGCCCATTCAGCCGCCACTGTCCAATTGGTGTAGTTGATGGCGTCGCCCTCCATGTCCATTTCCACATTGTTGGCGTTCAAAGTGGAGAACCACCCAGTGAGTGTGCTAGTACCTGAATTTGCAAATGCAAGGAGGCCAAACAAATTGGAAAGCAATCTCCAAAACTACAAGGCCTGACTTTGCCTAAGTGATTAAAAACTCCTGGATAAAACAGCAACAAAAAAAACATTGAAACACTTCTTAAGTTTCAACTGTAGCACTTGGCAAGGTCCCATCATTCACTTTATACCCTCCAAAGGTGAGGTAGTTGTTGGAGGCATCCGAATCTGAGGAGGCGGCCGGAGGTTCCTCGCTGATGTTTGCTTGGAACTTCCCATTGTGCTGCTGCCATCCACTCGGGATGTCACTGCAAAGAGTCAACCAGGAGTCACCGCAGTAGGCCTGGAGGATGTACGAGCTCGTGCTAGGCGGATGAGGAGGATGAGGCGGATGGGGTGGATGGGGGGGGATCAGGATGAGGCGGATGTGGATGAGGTGGATGCGGATGTGGTGGATGAGGTGGATGAGGCTGCAAGTGGCTGCCTTGGTCAGAACCATGGCCGCTGACTTGCAGCAGGGCAGCTGGTTCCACTTCATCTTCGCATTCTGCGGCACCCGCCGCCATGCAAAAGCACCATCCGGCAAACAGGATGCTCAGGGACACCTTCATGAATGGTCGAAATTCAAGAAACCCTAGTCTTCCGACCACTTCAGCTACACTCTTGATCCTTGATCCTTGTGAACCAAGTCACCCTCGTTCCATCCAGTCATCCAGAAGCAAATCCACTTTGCAAAGCAACCAAAGCAAACAAACCTGTTCTAGCATTGTAAAAACATAACACCTGATTACGGGCGACTCTGATTCGTTCAGAACACTCTTTTTCGTCGATCGATGTCGAGCACAAGGCCTCAAACTGGAGACATTCCAAACCAGGTGGACCCCCCTTTGTGTATGAAGAATCTATGGAATCCAAACAGAAAAGAAACATACAGCTACTGTTCTGCTAACTTTGGCTGGTTTTATAATGTTTTATAGACGTTAAAGGGCAGATATGTTGCATAGTAGTTGGAAGATCCAGAAATAAATCCATGGAATTCTAGAATCCACATGGCATATTTATGTCTATTTTGTAATAGTGATCTCCACCCTGCCCATTCCTTCCCATCCCCCATTCCCTGCCTCTGAGCATGGCGCTCTTCACCTCGAGCCAGGAAGACCCACCAGGACGCCGTGGGCGGCATTGGATGGTTTAACCTCGCCCTGACCCAGCGGGGCCGTGGATGTTCTGGGTGAGAAAGGAAGGTTAGAACCTATCCGAACAATGCAGAGCACCGAGATGAACATGGAACTGCTGGCAGGGAGATGAACATGGAACCCCCAAACTACTGGGTTGTAGAGGAAAATCGTCTTCCACGGGTCAATTCTCAGGAGTAGAGCAACTGGCTTTGCGCAGGACCCCAACATGGCTTTGGACTCTGCCTGACAGACCGGGTCTTGACCCAGGCCATGAAGCCGACTTCCGAGTGGAGACCACAAAATTCCTGGTCTCGGCCGAGACAGAGCGGCCCATGGCATGGTGTGAAAAGTGGCTATCTGGGGTGCTTTCACAAGTCAACAAGGCCTATAATTGTCGTTCTCGTTCTGCACATCGACATGCCTCCTCTTATGTCCACCCAGTCAACGACGGATCCTCATAGCTACAGCGTAACAGTTTGGCCCTCCTTCGATGTTCGACCCCTCTTTCGGTGTTTAGCCACTTGCAGCCACCGCGTAAGGCACCGATGACCGCACTCGTGCACTGGCGTTGCGTCAAAGGGAAGAACAAAACCGGTACGCGCGCCGACCCCGTCCACCCGGCACCGGTCGCCTGCATGGACACTCAGCTGCGTCGCTACATGACTCAACAGGGGTCAACCTCCCCACTGGAGTGGGCGTCATCCAGGTTCCGTTCTGCTGGTTTCACCTCATCGAAACCAAGACAGTTTAAAGTGACGTGATGTTTTGGCTATCTCTGTTACATCATATACACATCATGATACAGTATTACATCATTCCATTTCTGGGATGGAGCATGACCAAACGACCAATGTTCTTTTTTTGTATACTGCGCCCAGCTTCACCCGTTACTTCACCTGCTTGCCGCTTTGCCGCTCCGTTCCGGTTGACATCTCGTTTCAGATCTTGAGCCGACCAAACTGCTCGTTGGACGAGCGTTCGGACGGTGCGTTCGGGAACTGGACGGTCGGTCGGTGGCCGTGGCGAGTTCTTCTTCTCAAATCGAACGACTGCTCTTAGAGCCTCCCCAAGTCGTGCGACTCATTGCTGCTCGCCGAGTCTTCAAACAGCATTGACGACTTGCACTGCCGTTGGTTCAATGCTATGACTTAGCACCTCTGATCGATACCACATTGCCCCCGTTGAGCTACTTACTTTGTCCAGGCCAACCAACGCCAACCTGCACATTCTCGAAGCCCCCCCAATCGATGAATGTGAACATCCTGACAATTGAGGTATAGCATGGCAGTAGTATAGCCACATTGTCAATACCAGTACCGAGCGTGGCTCCGGATTCCATCCATGCTCGCTCCATCCTTTTTTCTTTCGCACCTGAACCCGTCTCCACGGTCTCCACGGTCTCAGCGTCTGCATCGAACGTGGCGCTGCGAGACCCGCGACTTTCGCGTCGGCGCCGCGTGGTCGTGGAGTCGATCCTGGAAGTGGAAAGGATGGCAAGAGATGTTTAGTGACCTCAACTAGGAACTGGGGGATAGTCTATAATTAGAGTTCTTCAACCTCTGTTGGTATCTCTAGGGCCTTTCATTTCAGGCCGAACACAACTATAACAAGATGGAGCCCACGAACCCGAATGCAAAACCGTTCGAAAAGCTACATATGTCCAAATGACACTCTTGTAGGACACTCTTGTGGGACACTCTTGTGGGTCACTCTTGTAGGAAACTCTTGTGGGACACTCTTACGGGACACTCTTGTGGGACACTCTTGTGGGACACTCTTGTGGGACACTCTAGTAGGAAACTCTTGTGGGACACTCTTGTAGGACACTCTTGTGGGACACTGTTGCGGGACACTCTTGTGGGACACTGTGGACACTCTTGTGGGACACTCTTGTGGAACACTCTTGTGGGACACTCTTGTAGGAAACTCTTGTGGGACACTCTTGTGGGACACACTCTTGTGGGACACTCTTGTAGGAAACTCTTGTGGGATACTCTTGTAGGACACTCTTGTGGGCCACTCTTGTAGGACACTCTTGTGGGACACTCTTGTGGGACACTCTTGCGGGACACTCTTGTGGGACACTCCTGCGGGACACTGTTGCGGGACACTCTTGTGGGACACTCTTGTAGGACGCTCTTGTGGGACACTCTTGTGGGACACTCTTGCGGGACACTCCTGTAGGAAACTCTTGTGGGACACTCTTCAGGGAAACTCTTGTGAGACACTCTTGTGGGACACTGTTGCGGGACACTCTTGTGGGACACTCATACGGTACACTCTTGTTGGGACAGTCTTGTGGGACACTCTTGTAGGACACTCTTGTGGGACACTCTTGTGGGACACTCTTGTGGGACACTCATGTAGGAAACTCTTGTGGGATACTCTTGTAGGACACTCTTGTGGGACACTCTTGTAGGACACTCTTGTGGGACACTCTTGTGGGACACTCTTGCGGGACAGTCCTGTAGGAAACTCTTGTGGGACACTCTTGTAGGACACTCTTGTGGGACACTCTTATAGGACACTCTTGTTGGACACTCTTCTGGGAAACTCTTGTGAAACACTCTTGTGGGACACTGTTGCGGGACACTCTTGTGGGACACTCATACGGCATACGGTACACTCTTGTGGGACACTCTTGTGGGACACTCTTGTAGGACACTCTTGTGGGACACTCTTGTGGGTCATGCTGCGAGGCTGCAAGACGAGCGTTTCGTACGAGACTTCCTCCAAAAGTCACGCGTCAAGTCTCAAAAACGAGCATTTCGTACGAGACTTCCTCCAAAAGTCACACGTCAAGTCTCCAAAACGAGCGTTTCGTACGAGACTTCCTCCAAAAGTCACGCGTCAAGTCTCAAAAACGAGCATTTCGTACGATTCGTACGAGACTTCCTCAAAAAGTCACACGTCAAGTCTCCAAAACGAACGCTTCGTACGAGACTTCCTCAAAAACTCACACGTCAAAGTCTGCAAAACGAGCGTTTCGTACGAGACTTCCTTCAAAAGTCAAGCGGAAACACCCATCGGAGCACACACATCACGCAGCCCTGCCAAGCAGTTTCGCGATTCCAGCCCCTCCAAACAAAATTCGCTCACACGCCAATCCCAATGTGACAGCGACATTCACCTCTACCACAACTCACAACCTCACGATTCCCTGCACCTGCCACGAATCTTTCCGCGTCCACACGTCTAACGCGCACAAAGTACTGCGCCTGCCACGAAATGTCACCTCCGTCACACCTCGCAACCTCACGATTCCCTGCGCCTGCCACGAGAATCGCACTTCCACGCCTCAAAGCCCGCACAAAGTCCTGCGCCTGCTACGAAAAGTGACAATATCGTCTCAATCCCAATGGCACGGCCACATCCAACACCCCAAAAACACGACTCTCCAAACGCTAATCCCAATGGAACTGCGCAGCAAACTGCGGATCTCACAAAACGCTGCGCCTGTGCAGCGAAATGCATCACGTTTCTTGCGCGACATGTCATTGTCATGCAAATCACAATGGAATAGCGGCGCAAACTGACACGTGACACGTCCATGAAAAGTCACTTGCAAAAGCTTCCCCCAATGGCAGCAAATTTGAGACGCGACGACGACGACAAACGACGACACGACGCAACCCATGCAAACACAGCTCCACCCCCAGACCCCCAACTATAAACGGGAACCCTTCGCTACGCATTCGGGAAAAAATATTAGGAGCCTTTTCAGGTCAATCAGTTTGTTCCTGCAAAATGTGCATGCAAGCCAATGACATCATCATGTGTAGTTCGCTTTCATGCGCTTTGGCACCTGTAGTGCAATCCGACCAAGTCCAGTTGAGGTGCGTTGGAACCCGAGACTGCAAGCTTGGAGTTCATTGGATATAGACATAGACCCAAAGATGGTTCATGCGCAATATGCTGGAACCAGAACATTGTCACGAGTTGCCTATGGCCGAAGCTGTTTTGGCATCCCACAACTAAGCACCATGCCATGGCAGAACCATAGAAGTGTGCTTGTTAAAGACAACATCATCTCCACTTGAACCCCCCTATGTGCGGACTAGTAACAAGCTACGATCGCTCCTGGCCTGACGCTACGAACGGGGCTCCTGGCATCGCTACGAACGTAACAAGAAGCGAGCGAGGCGGCCCTTCAAGGCCACACCCTCCGAGTGAACTCCAGTCCTCCGCGCTCTGCGCGCCGGGTTTCCGGAAGGCCGCCAGGGGAACGCCGTTGAAGCCCATCATCTCAGACCTCGTGAAGCCGTTGAAGCCGAAGCCATTCCCAATTTAGCCAAAAAAAGGAGCTGTCTGGGGGAGGGGCCTGGAATGGCCAGATGCAGAGCCAAAGCCCTGGTGATGAAACCATATGAAACCCATTTCAAGTCCGAGATGAAGCGACCGAACTCATTGATGGAGGCCCATCGCTTTCTACGTCGGAGGCTATCAGTTACTAGGGTGGAGGCCATCGGTGTCCCCACATGTCCCCCCCCAAGGGTGACCTGCAGGTGATCCAGTCCACTTTTCTGGTGGCCGCGATGGGGCCGACCGCCAGGTCGTTCATCCCACCTTCCGAACTTCCTGGATTCAAGCTGGGGAGAAAGCTGGAGGATTCACCTTCTAAGATTTGTAAGGTGGTTCTTTAGAATCAAACAGCTGGCTCACAAAGCCGGTTGCTTTTGCGGGTACCGGTCTTGGGTCTGACGTCGTCTGCAGCCGTGCAGCAGTCGACTGCCCCCCCTCCCGACCTACACAGATTGAATGGTGACCTCAGGAGGTCTCATAATCATTTCTCCATGCCCTGAGGTGAATTCCATCTGATTTGGGGACACCAAAAGGGGTTTTGCCCCAATTCGGATTTTGCACATGGGGATACTTGCTTTCGGACCACAACAGGTGTCCCGCCGTGGTGGTGCGGGTGCTCCACCCGTCCGACACGAGTTCACTGAGGTTTAGTATACGGGGCATCTGAGCGGTTTGTGAACCCTTTCTGTTTGGTTTATATCTTCTTTCTCCTTCAGACCTTGTTCGATCATTTTTTGCTTTTTCTGTTTGGTCTTTTTGTCCAGAGCGACAGTGGGGTGGGTACCAGTGGTCCACCACCAGTCTGTGGGTCATTCACCCCACCGGAGCCTCAAAGCAAGGTGTCCTGGTGCCATGACCCAGTGCGCCATACCAAGAGAGGTATCCAGTGACCTGAACTAGGACCACCCGGGGTACCCAACTGGGATAGTCTAGTTCAGGTATCCCTAATTAGACCATTTGGGTGGAACTCGTTTCATGCACTTTTCGGCTGTTTTCAGTGACAGCCGCATCTGGGTCTCCCATACTGGGGCGTCTGGATAGCCCAAACACCGCATGGTGGGGCCGTTGTGCTGCCTCCAGGTTCGTAAGACCTCCTGCGAGAGAAGGTCTTGGAGACACCCTCTGAAGATTGGTGTTGGAGGGGGGGAGGTTGTTTTACAGAAAGGACACGAAAAGGATGTAAGTTGTACAACCGGCACTTGTGCAGGGCTTGTCCAAGGGTTCATGTGACATACTTGCATGTTCATGTTTGTATTTGGGCACAGAATTGCCGTCCAAGGTATGATCTTTCGAAGGATGCCCGCTCTTGGCATTCCGGGAAATTGCGAAGAGTGGAGCCAAAAGGATGCGCACCCAACATGTGTCCAAATTGAAGACCAAAATCTGACTGCACCAAAATGGATGACTGGAACCCAAAGGATGCCTGGCATCCTATGAAGTTCAAAATTGAAGACCCCCCCAAATCTGCACCTTCCAAAAGGTCAGCCAACTCCAACTCCAACCAAAAACGCCCAGCGCCACGGCCGGCGCCACGTCCCCAGTTTTCCCGCCTTCTTCGCTCCGGACAACGGACCGTTCCACCGGACCAACGGGGGCGGGGTTCGAACCGGGCGGAAACGGTCCAGTTCACTCCTCGGAAACGTCCTGCCACAAGCGCTTCGTGGCCATGTTGCCCTGTCCTCACCGAGGAGACGCGAGGGGGTCGCGGAGTGACTGTCCTCACCAAGCTGGATCGACTGCAGGACGCGACGAACGGAGCCAAGGACGCGACGAACGGGGCGAAACTGGCCGTAGTACGAACGGAGCAAGGACGCTACTAGGAAGCTACTAGGGGCTCATTTAAACAAAACCATGTTTTTCCACGGGGGATTGACTCAGTAAATCAAAATCCACCTTCACAAGGCGCCCAGGGTGCTCCCCTTGAGGGTCCCCAGGGGGCACCGTAAACAAGGAGGGTTGGCCATGGTTGGCTTCGATAGGTCTCAATGGAATGTCTTTGGGAAATACTTTGACCTTTTGGGATTGGTCCAACAATTGTTACTCCAACTGCTGCAAGCCATGAATACATTTTTTCTTGATCACCTGAAGGGCAACGCCAAACTATACGTACCAAAACGATCCAGGTAAGCAAATATGGCTTGCACCTGGTGGTTTTGGTGGTGGTTGTAGGACATGTTTGCTTGCATGGATCGTCTCGGATATATTGTTACTTCACCCGAACACCATAAGTTCCTTGTTGAAACTAATTCACGTCGTAGTTCCTCATGTGTCCTTCTTGAAGGGGCGAAGGTTTTTGAGTCGCCGGTAGTTAGCTAGCCCGGTCACATCGCGCCTGAGGAGACAAATTTCAAAGAGCTGCGGTTGTAGCCTTAGGCGGACGTCCGATCGATCAAAAAATGCAGAGCAGCGATCCAAACAGTGCATCAAAGGCTTTAGAACATGGTTGTTCCGGGATGGTGGGAGTCAAAGGTTCTATGTCAAACAGGCGGTTGTTGCTGACAAACCAACACTGTAAAGGGCAATGGCGGATTGTTTTTCTCAGGTCTCTAAGTGTCAAAGACGGATTGTTTTCTCGGTCCTTCTATCGCTTCTATACAGGTCAAACACAGGATCTATAGAGGTTGAGATCTTGTGATTTGGATATATCAAGATCATCCTGCAGAATGAAAATAGAAATCAACAAAACAACAGAAGAACCGTTTTGGAGAGCTCCCAAAACTATGCGTCAATCAACCACCCCAACTGATCAGTCAATATGCCAGTCCCGTCGGTCGTGTCTGGGTATACATCTTGCCGAATCGTAGCCGAACATCCTCGATCATGATCTACTAACTAGTCCGGCTCACACCAACACTTTGCCACACTCCAACCAACCCAGATCAATGTATAACATATCATATCTTGCTAAAAAAAAGTGAGCTAACTATATATAACATTCATAAATAAAATGTATACAATGTTCTGTTGTTCCTTCCAGGTGCTAAATGACTGAATTCCTTCATTGAGCTTTCCAACGATCTGATCCCAGCTCTCCACTTCGCCATCTCCCGTGGTTCTTCCCCCACCGCACCGTCTCCTCACAGCGCGAACCGCCGAACCGCCATCCTACGCCGCACCTCTCGCTGCCTCGCGGGCGCCGGCGGTCATCTCTTGCGCCAAGGAGCGAAGCTTGAAGAAATTCAGCCCACCCTCCGTGTGCCTCGTCGAGCCGACGGAGATCCATGCACCGATGCGGAAAGCTTCCCGGTTGGTGCGACGTGGTGCGAGAGGACAGGAACCCATCGGAAACACATCAAAACGGTGCGGAAGGGACACCAACACGGCGTGGCGAATGTTTGACGCCTTCGCGATAAGGCGGTTTCTGAGAAAAGAACGGAATAATTGTGCTTCTTTTGAGGTGACGTGAGGTCCCTGTCCGGGATTTGCAGACTCTTTTTCATACAGGACTTCCGAAGTCCCGCCACTTGCAGTGTTCCACCTGTGTTTTTTCCAGAAAGACCGGGGCCAGGAGGCGAATTTGAACCCCCATGACCCATCCATGCAAGCAAGAACCCTTCACCAGTCCCATGGGTGGTCTGGTGCGGGGGGTTTTGCGACGGTTTGCGCTTGCGGCATCGCGGTGCGGGAAGCTTCAGCAGAACCGTTCACGGTTTTCACACCTGAACAAGCCGAGCTTGAAGACGTTGAGTGTCAAAGGAATCTGCCCACAGTGTCACCTGTATGTAGATTCGGCCCAATAGTATATTTTTATTTTGTTGAAGAAATCGATGTCACCAAGTCTACGATATTGAACATGTAACTATAACAATTGTTGATGCCTTCCAGTTTCCAAACTTGAGTGTCCTAACCTTTCAAAAGAATAAGCACTTGCAGTAACTCCAGCACCTTTTCTGCGGCCAAGGCTCTCCATCTCTTGCATCGTCGAGGCACTCGAGGCGTTCACCGCCAAGCTGGCAAGATCAGCGAGTCGACCCCTACACATACCAAAACCGAACTAACAACTATATCTGCGGGGAACATATTTGGAGAATAATTGAGCACACATTAACATGTTAGGGAAACCTCCTGATTTACACCTCTTGAAAACAAAACAGGGTGCCGGCAAAGAAGGTGCATTGTTGCACGTCGCAGTCCACTACGGCTCGTTGCCGGCTACCGGCTACGGCTGGGTACGGCCGGCTATATACGGCCGTGCATGGGTCAGAACGGCCAACGATGGCCGGTTACGGGCGACCGGTCGTGGTTCATGCCATGCAAGGCCCAGCCAACTTCAGATTTAGCGGATCCCCTAAATCACCTAAATTTGTAAAATTTACAAAGTTTGAAGAATTTATGTTCATAAACGTGTAAGTGGATTAGTAAATGTAATTTCAATCTAGGTACCACCTAAATTATATCTATTTTTTTGATGACTAAGGTTTTCTGGTGTTTTCTTGTTTTTGACTTGTGACTGTAGCAGATTTCCTGATAGAGAACCTTTTGTAAGAAAAACCATTGAAAACCACATAAAGAATATTGGAAACCGAAAGTAAACTCATTGGGGTCAAGTACAAGAACAAACATTCAGACGAGCACAGTTTTCTACGTGCTCTACTTGGTTGATACTGCTTCAACAAGTGAAATTCTTTGCGCTCTTGGATCTCAGGAGGTAACACCGCATCTCAGCCATGATGGACATGCTGAGGACAGTGCGCGATGACTCGAGCAGTTACTCTTAAAGAGTGTGAGAAAAGGAAAACATCAGCTTCTCTACTGGAGTTACTTCCACTGTTTGTCACATGATATGTTGCTTGGGTTTGTGAAGGGGGGGTTTAAGTCAAGATTCTTACTTGAGAACCTTTACTTCAGAAGTTCTTTATTTGGAAAGACTGTACTTGAGGGTTATTTTACTTGAGGAAACCTAATTTGAGGGTGTGATTGAGAAGACTTTACTTGATGGCATGATTTTTCTGGTGAATACTTGAGGATGCAATGGTGCTTGAACACCTTTACATGAGGATGTGATGGAACTTGCAAATGAGTAGCCTCATATTGAAGAATTATCTTCAAAAAACATCATAAATCCAGATGAATTCTTGGCGCATTTCTGATGCACTTTCCAAAACATCACGGAACATGTACAAATCATTCTTTGTAGGTTTGTCTAAAAACATGCTCTTTTGCATCAACATGAGATCAACTATGACAAACGTTTCATATAGTTGTCTTATCAACAAACATCTATCTATGTTTCGTGCAGCTTTCATGGCAGTGTAATGTTCGTTTCTTGAATATTGTGTACTTGCGGAACTGGATTTGAACTCGAACAGGTACATCTGCAAGGACAGGGCATTCACATTTTCGTGACCTGGTCGAGCAAACCCCGTAAAGATAAGAAGAACAACCTGAAGAGTCAAATAGCCTGCTACAGCAAAAACAAGGGGAACCCCAAAAGCAAAGGCCAAGGCAAAGGAAAGTCTATGGAGAGGCCCTCTCTCAGCATCAGGCAAACAAGAAACCAGCCACCAAGTCTTCTCATCCTTGCATGGTGCACATCCTCAAGTATAAGTTTCTCAAATAAATTTTCAAAAAAACGTATTTAGCAAGTAAAGAAACCTCAAGTAAAAGCCCCCATCAAGCAACCAAAAAGTCAACCCCTGGCCTGTTCAGTCAAAAAGCAACAAAACATAGCGCAAATATATTCAAGTAAATGTGGTGATTAGAGAAATCTGCTATTTCGGACAAGGCCAGCAAAAATAATTTCGAACTTGAGGCTTGACACCCATGCTTTCCAATACTTTTAGGTTCTACTTAAAGTAAAATTCCCCAAGCAGTGTGGTCACACTAGGGGTTCTTACGGTAGTTGTTAAGCACTGGTGTCTAATCGAGGTCTTGCACTGGGGCGTCCGGCTAATTCGCTGCTATTTACAGTACATTCATACCTTTCGAAATCCTCGACGTGCATTTCGACTGCGCAGGCTCGCAAAATCTGCTTGGCCGCAGCGGGTGCTTGTCGCGACTGCGCTCTCGTTGTGGTGCCGGGACCTGGTGGTCATTTTTCGTGGCAGGCGCCAGGGAAACCTCGTGTTTTGGTGGTCCAAAGTCGACTTTTCGTGACAGGTGCAGCACTTTGTGAACCTCGAAGTGCAGATTTCTGGCAGGCGCACTCCACTCTCACTCTCACTCTCACTCTCACTCACACTCACACTCACACTCACTCTCACTCTCACTCTCACTCTCACTCTCACCACTCCACTCCCACTCCCACTCCCACTCCCACTCCCACTCCCACGCCCACTCCCACTCCCACTCCCTCCCTCACTCACTTCCACCACCGCCATCACCACGATCTCCACCTTCATCACCACCGTCACCTCTGGACCCCAATGCGTCTAGATCTCTAGAGTCTCTGCTGCTACACCTCTAGACCTCACACGCACTGTTTGGGGCCTCTTGCCGGGATAATTTACGTAAGTTTTGATGTACGTAAGTTTTCCTTAGTAAATAAAACATGGCTTTACTTTGGGTGATCGCCACCGTGACGCTTGTTTTCGCGCCATGGTGAGGAGCATGTTGTCATGGTTGTGAGTTTTGTGGTTTTCGATTTTGCTTGTGGGTCCTCGGGTTTGGGGTTGTTACTTTAGTGTTGGGAGTTCGCGTCGGGGTCTCGCCAGGGTCACCAGTTGGCATCCAAAAGTGCTACCCTGTGACCACCTGCAATATATTGCTGTAGCTGTGGTTGTGGTTGTGTGTTGTGGTTGTGTGCTGTGTGTGGTTGTGTGTTGTGGCTGTTTGCTGTGGTTGTGTGTTTGTGGTTGCGCTGTGGTTGTGTTTGTGGTTGTGTTTGTCCGGTAGTGCCCACTGTGATCTGGCACTTGCGGTTGAGGTCCGGTAGTGCCCACTGTGATCTGGCACTTGCGGTTGAGGTCCGGTAGTGCCCACTGCGATGTGGAGCTGACGGTTGAGGTGGCGTGAAGGAGGAGGAGGAGGAGGAGGGGGAGGAAGAGGAAGAGGAGGAGGGCTCTGATAAAATCTAACAGCCCCTCACCTGACAGGTGGGGAAAATACGTAATTCGTAAATGTTCGTACAATTAATTTCGGCGACTTAGGGTCAATCAATCTCTTCCTCAGCACGTTGACCCGCTGCATCCGGCTTCTTTGACCCGTGCTTGTAGAACTGCTTGTAGAGGGCCCAATGCAGCCACTGTCGATACAAGCGCTGGCAGGCCGATCTCGTTGCGCGTTTTCTCTCCCACGAGGAACTCGTTGATACGCAGGAAACTTAAACATGGCCGCAAGAAGTCCGACCAATAAAACAGGATCTTCATTCGCAGCCATTTGGAGATGTTCCTGTCTCACATGAAAGCTGTCCTTCGGAAATGGAGCTTGGGTCCCAAAGGAGCCCGACGCGCACCCCTTGCGGTTGCAATCTTCTCACTTTGTGTGTACATGTTGGCACATCCTTGCTTTTTGCTGATCAAATGCAACCCAGCATTGGAATCAACAACACATTGTGTTGGATAATTCTGAGCTGGTCAGAACTCCCTTCCGCTCACAAGCCAAAGGTTCTCCAACCCCCTTTTGGTCGCATCAGTGATGACCGTGTTTTGCAAGTCAGGATTTGCAACAATCAGCCACTTGGGCTATGACGCATCCATCATGTGTCGGACCCGGGTGAGCAGACCCCAGGTGCAACACAGAGATGAGCGGACAGGCAGGCCACTACCCTACCCTGTAGTTAAGGGACCGGGTGAGGAACGTTAAAATCACAAGAACATGTAAGGGCTCTGTACCAGCATCACCCAGGTTGGGTGGTTGGGGGTTCCAGGCACAACTGGTTCATTTGTTGTCGCTTTATATACAGGGTCTGCTCATGATTTCTTTGCACAAATCCCTCTCACATCAAAATTGTTGCCACAAGTCACATGTCGGGGTGGTGTTTAGTCCCTAAGTGAGTGGATGTTCTGGGCACCGCCAACCCCCGTTAAGCACCCCTTTGGAACTGCTGGTGTGCGGACCCTTTTGGATGTCGCTCAAATGCTGGATGACCAAAGTGGATCATCTCTACCAATTATGCCTAAAACCTTGCTCCCGCAGGTGGAGGCGCTTCAAAGGCGCTTTTTGGGAACCGGGAAAAACATAAAATTAACCCGCCACCCCAAACCTGTCGCTGAAAAAGGTCAGAAAACCCCCCACCCGCCTCAAATGCTCCTCCTCAGCCTTCAGTCCCAAAAACTGAGCCAAGCCTGAGGGCACGGACCGTGGCGTCTTCGAAGTCGCGATCCCTGGAACGTGAAGCGAACGAAGCCTCCACCGGTGGGAGGTGAAGGGTGTCCCGTTTTTCGCCCCAAACGAGGTGACCATGGAGTAGGTGATCCACTTTTGGTTGAGAGCCCAGGTCCTGAGAGCGGCTCTTCAGCGCACGGTCCCCAGCCGCCACGTGGGCGCCGTTCCGCTCCAAGAAACGTTGGAGCTCCGCCTCCGTGTGCTCTTCGAGAGCTTCATACCGGAGCCTTAGCTGCGGAGCGATCCGAAGTCCCGTCCGAGGGAGACGCTTTCGACCGCGTTTCAACGCGGGTGGCGACCTGACTAAAGCGTTTGGAGCTCTGCAGGTCGGAGCCGGGTCCACACGCAAGTTCAGACTTTATGTCGGAGGGGGGTCCAGCTTCCATGTCCAGATGGATTGGAGCATATTCGTCGAAAAGAGACCACTTGCCTCAGGCTGTTCGTTGTGGTTCTTAGCACGAGCCACCAGGGATGGTAACATAGAATTCTGGAGGAGGAGTCGCCTGTCGTTGATGTTGGTGTCATTTGCAGGTGGACCCCTGCAAGAAGAAACCCCTCCGATCAGATCTGCAAAAGAAGATCCCAATAACTATATCCCAATATTGGCTTTCGATTGAACCCTCTTCCTACATCTTCAAGCGCGAACCACACCAAACATCTTCAAACCACCCCACACGACCCCCCCCCCCAAACCCCCCCCCATGTGTCTCTCCAAAGACCTCGGCCCGTCGTCCTCAGCTCCGCTCGTCCCCGGAGACCGTCCCGGTCCCAGAAGCCAAAAGATCTTCACCCCGCGCTGCTCAGCGTGCTGCCAGGAGCGAACATGATCCGCCCAGGAGGTGCCTGGGTACATCCTGCCGGGCCGAAGCGTTTGGAGGCGAACAACGGTGGACATGGACATGAAGAACACGGAGTGGAACTCATGGTTTTGGATGAATCGGGACCGATGTCAGGTGGTGTAGAGGGTTCTTGGATGCTTGGTCTGATGTGGGTAAAGCAGTAGTGCAAGACCAAGCCCCACACGGAAGCCAAACCGAAATTGGGCGCACAGAGTCGTTCTCCATTTAGTTTGTTGAAGTTGACACGAGTTGGCCAATCTCAGGATGACCAAACATGCAAAGCAAAAATTCAAAAAAAAAGTGGGATCACATAATATAATGCGCTCAACCATCTGGGGTGGGACTGTCCACCCCCCCCTGAATATGTATTAAAATACTTGAGATGGTCTTACCCCACCCCCCGGAAATGAATTGGAGGGTGTGCACACTGTCCTGAATAATTTTCAGACATCCATAGGAACTGTGTTATAAAAATGCAGCCATCCCAGCAGCATTTTTGTATGCATGTGCATGTGATGCGAAATCGATGCAGGAGTTTGCACCAGTCATGAGATGTCATGAGTCTCATTTTTCTTGCATGCTATTCCTCTGGTATCCATGGTGTGCTGCACATAACAACTTGTTTGGCACCCCCTCAATTAATGTAATCTTGGGGTGGGGTGGGGCCACCATCAATTATATAACTATGCATTTTTGAGGTTCAGGTCACTGGTGGGTTTAGCACGGTAAGCACGGTAAGCCCGTGGTGTGGGGGGTACCCCCACCCTCAATTGATTCTGCGGTTGTTTTTTCAAGCAAATACCAAATACAAACATATACAGACACGTTCTTGAACTCGTCGTACCTTTGAGTTTTTTTTTAAACAAGTCCCTCAGTCCCTCTGACGTGCAGCAGGCAGCTTCAGACTGACTACTTCCAAATGCTGTGGATCTGCCCTCTTTGTCTGCAGCTGCCCGGTAGTTTAATCTAGGTGGGTGGACTCCATGTTGGAATTTTAATCTAGGTGGGTTTACTCTATGTTGGGTTTTCTATTCAGGGTGGCTAGACAGGCGTCAAGCATCATGCAAATGACCACCGGTTTTAACAATTGACACCCACCACCTACCCACCTCACCAACTATTAAAAAACATTAATTGAGAACAGTAATTGACACAGTGACTCCACCTCGGACCTATTTCGACAATGTCGAGGAAATATAATATGCATATATTAAACATCCATTCCACCACCAAGCAATTCTACCAAGCAAATTCAGCCCCGCCTCCGGTCATTCACAAAGGTCCCAAAGTTTCTCCGATCACGAAGGTGACCCAAGCCCAAGCGGAAGCGGAAATAGGAAGCCATCGTGTTGTAGCCATTACCTGCAGTGTCGACCCAAACGATGAGGGTGAAAGGTGCTGAAGCTGCGCGCACTGTGAGGGTCGCTGGGGCAAAGCCCACCCCTTTCAGAAAATGGGCTGATGATCTAATGACATTGGTGAGGAGTGCATCCGGATGACATCTCCCCCCTTGCAAGTAGAACTGCAAGTCCAATGTCAACCTCTGAAAATCTACGAGGTCGCACCTACGACCTGCCAAATGTCAAGCATTGTATAGTATGTTTATTACCAGCACCCCCCCAGTCGGGGTGGTTAATGGACACCCCGAATCACAGCTAAGGGGCTATAAACCCCGACAGGAGGGTCGTGGTATATATTGCATTTATATGGCTTTGGGTCATAAAACCACGACACCAACTGGTTAACCTAAGTGTTGTCGGGACCGGTTGTTCAAAGAATGGCACACTGGTGCGCTTGCTTGTGCTTTGGACCCATTCCAGACGAAAAGTAGACCCCCACTAAACATGTCTTGGACACCGTGATCAGTATCTCTTTGGGGATCACTGGCTGCCATATAATATAGCCTATCAGTCATCCCAAATCGTCCAAACAAAGAACCACGGACTCGCACCGGCTTCAACGGCACAACCCGTCTGCCGCGTCGCGGTCTCCGCACCTTTTTTGGCCACTCGCACGTGGGACGAGACCAAACGGCCAAATGTTCGGTCGACGTGTCGCGCCGCGCCCAGTTCGGTCGGGCGGCACGTGAAACGACGGAGAAACGACGTGAAACGTGTCAGGAGATGTCAGGAGTGGAGTTGGGTGGTGTGGCTCGTCTCATCCAGGGGCCGTGGATGTGACGTCGGGGCACCCTTATCTTAACCTCCATTATATAAGCACCCGTTTGGTCCGGAGAGCTACTGTGGGCCGAATACGAGTGGATGGAGGAGCAATCTACAGTAAGGGATATCAATGATTTGTTTGGAAGGTTCTGAAAGTATCTTGGGTGGTATATCCCATTCCCTGGAACAGTGGATGATGATTGTTAGGTTGCAGGTCTCTCTCTAAAATAGGGATGTTCTTGTTTACTGACGGTTACAGGCTTTCTGGGACAGACCCTTAAATCCTATGTTGCTATTCTTGAGCCAGCCTGGGGCACGGCTGCTCGCTCTCCGTCGTTCACATTCTTTCAGTTGCCTCACTGGCCAATCACAGCCATGTGGCACCTGTTCGGAAGCCACCGTGAGGATGATCTGTTTCTCTAAGACTCTAAGATGCGCACGACCCTGCATCACCGACCCTTCAAAAGCGGGTGTGGCTAACATATGAAACATATTGAAACATTGTCTCTATGGTCTCCATGCGAACATCATGCTGTCAAGTCTGAATATTGAGGAATACTGTTTTGTTTATTTTTGCATGTTTTGTATTTTTTGATAACTCGATATATTTTTTTGGATCCCCCAGTTTAGTTGGGTCCCTGTAAGGGTTGGCTACCCAGAATATTTGGGGAGCCTCTCATTGAACTGAATTGATACGAGTCCAGCCTCGTGCAACTTCATCTTTAGTCACTTACCACCTGCCTCAACATGGTTTGCTCTCATTAATTGTACTCCAACCTTGGCAGCTCCAGTAATTACTCAGTATATAATTAGTGCTGCATCACTATAAATGTTTTAGATCGTTTTAGCACAAGCAAGATTGCGATCTTTTTGGAGCCACTTCTTTTGGGCCGACAACGGAGGATTTCAACCCAAGGTGCAATGAATTGGCGAGGATGCTGAGCCTACGATTGAAGCATGGAGAGATCATCCCATATATGGGATGAAAAAAGAATGTCATGCCACCTTGTGTGGAATTCCATTAAGAGCCCTTTTCAGGGGATATATCCGGTAATTCATGACGTTCTGGGTCAGTTTTTTCCATCCTTCATCCAAATGTACTGTTGGGAAAGAACCTGTAACTCTCCATCCCCCAAAAAAACTACTGTGCTTACACCATCGACGAACGGGCACTCGTCCTTCAAGTATAGGTACTATCTTTTTAGCACTTCTTGCAATTGCAACAATAATGCAAACACTCGAAATATGCATGGTTTAAAGTCATCGTGGTGTTCAAAAACTCGAAAATCGTGGATGTTGATTTGATGTGCCCACCCAACTCATTGACATGGCGTGCCAATCGGTCAACTTCGATCCGCCTCGGAAACCTTCGATCGGTCTCGGCGTACCTCTCCATGCGCTGAATGACCCAAACTCGATCCATGGGACTGGCAATAGATACAGTAAATGTATTACAGAACCCGGGGTATAAGGATGTTTTAAGTGTGGTGCCAGCAAAACCAGAGGCTTCTTCCAAGGTTTCTAAATGTTGGTCGCTCAGGGTGCTTTTTTATTTCCTGTATCTTCCAAATGGCACAAGTCAAACACTTGCATGTTCACTGAACAATGCCTCCAAAAAAACCACTTTGGTGCCAAATAGGAAGATCCAGGTACTGATCCAGGTATGTGCCATTGACTCCTGAAACCTGACCTTTTCTATCATTATCACGGTCCCGTGTGGCGCCCGCAAGCGACCGTGTGGCGCCTAGAACACCGCATGCGTCGACCTCTTCGCACGTGTCGACCTCACGTTCCGAACGACATCCTGGACAAAGGAAGAAGGAGTCTGACAGCACAAGAAGGAGTCTGCCGCCAGTTCAAACAAAAAGACCGCTAAAGAAAAGTTCTTCATGCTTCATTCAGCCCTCCTCAGCTTGTCTCGCGAAAGTGAAAAAGCGCCCACAACATGCCATGCAAAAGGCTTGCTGGCCGACGCTCATAGTTGGACTCCTCGTCCCAGTTGTTTGACAAACCCGGTCGCAGTGGAACCGCGTTCGATTTTTACCGAGTGTTCACTCGGCATTGAAAGCTTCGCACTTGAAAGTTCAAGCGAAAGTGCCCATTGCACGCCGGAGCCTCAAGCGAGGACCTGCGATGACCAGGTGTTCTAACATCTCCAAGCGGGTTTTTCGCGAGGGTAACGCGAGCACACACAAGCAGTTCATTCAAAATTGAGACTGATAGGGTGTTTAACTTGATCTTTGCAAACAGAAACATACAACAAAAATATACGGAAGCAACACCGTATAACTGTGAATCTGAAGAAATCGGGCACGAAATTGCGCATGGTTTGCTCCATCTCCCGCCCATGGTTTCTCCCTCTTTCTGCTGGCAAAGAGCAAGCCCCTGGGATCCAAGTAGTTCGACACTGTAGGTGCCCAAAACGTCGGGTCGTTCGTCCTACCGAACCTGAGGTGTTTCGAACGTCGGGCTTCGACTTGATCCGCATGGTCTCTATGTGAAACCGCTGTGGAGCTCAGTGGAGCTCGAACCGATGAGAGACGTCGAGACTGGTCGGCCGCGGCCGCTTTGTCCTTTGACGTGCGGAGCGATCCTCCAAGGAGAATCGGCTTCAAACACGCTGGGCGACCCGAGGCGCCAAAACCTTCAGAACCGGTTTTGCACCACAAGAAAAGTACAAAACCAGTCATGCCATATCACCGTCGTCGTGCGTTGTCTGCGTTGTCTTCGAAATCAGTTGCTCCGGTTTCAGACGTCTCCACAGCCCAGCCTCAGATCCAGTGCAGGCACCTCGACGCCAGCCCGGCCAGGCGGGGTGACGTCAATCCTACGAGATCCGCATCCGGCAATCAAACAGAAACAACGAGCCCTGCTTGTTCGGACGCTGGGACTGAGGATGACCAGTCGGTTTTACCACAACGACCCCTTGCAGGCTGTTAAGTGACTTGATACAAAGGACCCCATAACCTGGGGTACCTATATATGGGATAGTCTATAGGCTATGGGGACTGCTATGGGGTACCTAGCATACATATGGGATAGCAATCCCCGAAAGAGGTCGGTTTCACCTCATGTTACTGGGGGTGCTCACACACACCAAAAAAGATACACACTAAAAGCAATACTTAAGGAGGACTCCAGGACTAGGTTTCGACCTGGGTCCTGCATGAATTTTTGGGGATCCAAAGAGCAACCCTCAACCAACGGCCGTAGCACCCGGAACCGAGCTTGCCAAAAGAGGTGACCTTGGATCGGTTCCAGCCGATCGCTTCAAACGGTTGACCATCCGTTCCGTGGTGGTTTCAACTCGAAACATATCCGTATGATCGATCCTCCCAAGAGGAGCCCTCAATATACCTGGAGCCTCAAAGTGACCTCAGAACATCACTACAGTGGTAGTGATGTTTTGTGTTTTGGGCCATGTCCCATGTTCTAGAGTACTTGAAGTCAGGTCCAGGTCTCTGCAAACACATTCGCCAGAGAAGGTCCACATGAATCCAGGTCAGCAACGTGGAGGACTTCGTTTTCGCCAAAGGCGACATAATATTCTTGAACAATTATATATATATATATATATATTTAAGTTCAAGGATCTCATTAAACAAACAAAGTCAATCCAAATAATATACTGTATCTATTGATATCTTGTATAATGAAGATAAACAATTGATAACACAAGCAACAAGGACTCAGAAACCATTCAGAAAACAAACAAAACAACAACTCCCTGGTGTCGTCCGTGCTCCACCTACCATTTGGCTTTGCAATAACAAACAGCTTGTCTTGCTTGCGTTGGCCTGTTTGTTTGGCCCGGGTGAGATGATTGAAATTGCTTTGACTTCGTGGGTGGTCAGGACCCCCCAAAAAATACATTCTGAATTGGTGAGCTTGGATATGCTTGGAGAGATCCATACTTCGCCTCAGAATGCCAAGATGCCCTTTTGGAGTACTTCGAGCCTACGAGCCTTTTGGAAAACATCGAGTATGACCTCCATGAAACAAAGGAATCAGGGCCCAAAGAAACTCCATATATATATATATAAAGACTCCCAGCACTTCACTCTCTTTTGTCTGCAATGCAAAGCCTA